ACACCTGGCTCTGGATTTTTCTTTCTATATATCCTCTCCTACACCCTCCCCACCCCCAATCCCCCAAATCAGGGCTTCCTGGAGAAACTGATGATTTCAAAACTTTGATAGAAAAGGATCCAGGTCAGACTACAACATACCCTACCACGTAGCAAAGAAGTATTCAAAGACTAATGAGGTTGCCCTCCTCCAAAAAAAAAAAAAAGGAAAAAAATATATATAGTTGCCAGGTGCAATGGTGCACAATTGTAATCCCAGCTATTCAGAAGGCTGAAGCAGGAAGACTGCAAGTTCAACACCAGCTTGGGCAACTCAGCAAGGACCCTATCACAAAATAAAAAATAAAGAGGGCTGTGTGTAGTTCAGTTGCACAGCACCTCTGGTGCAATCCCTAGTACCAAAAAACAAAACAAGCCCAAAACAGGATCACACACACACGTAACCATACAAACAAAACAAAACAAAAAACCCAAGAGCTGGCCTAAAGGCCAAATTTAGGATAATCTGAGTACCAGAAAAAATGATAATGGATTACAGCACATTAAATCTTAAAAAAAAAATGAGTCCATCTTACTACAAAAAGAAAAAAAGGGAGAATGGGAGGGGGAATGAGTGAGGAAAAAGCCATTCTATAAAAAAAAGAACACCAAATAATAAATATAAAAGGAATGATAGAATTATTGTTTTGCAACCCTTGATGCCACAATTTAGGCAAAAATTATCAGTGGATGTGATATGGAAGGTTATCGGAAACACCCAATTTTACAATTCCTAAGAATCACTCCACATATTTATTTATTAATTACAAGAGAGTCAAATTTTGGGCTGGGGTTGTAGCTCAGTGGTAGCATGTGTGAGCCACATTGTGAGGCACTGGGTTCGATCCTCAGCACCACAAATAAATAAATAAATAAATGTACTGTGTCCATATACAACTAATTTTTTAAAGTAAGATTTGCAAAGTGTAGTGATATGTATGTACAATCCTAGATGCTGGGAAGGCTGAGGCAGGACTGAAAGTGTGTRGCCAGTCTATGCAACTTAGTGAGATCCCGTCTCCAAAAATAAACAAACAAAACAACAAAAGCAAATAAGGGCTGGGGATGCAGTGGTAGAGACCTTGCCACCCTGGGTTCAACTCTGAGTACCACACACACCATACAAAAAAGAAAGAGGAAATTTTATCCTTGCAATGGAGACATCAGGTTGTCATGACCTTAATCGATAGAACAGCAAAATAATCTGAATCTAATCATCAAAGAACTAATCAAACATACTCAAACAGGCGGAGGAGCTCTGTTAAGATTCAATGGATTGCTAAAAGGGATATAATCAGATATAATATGTGAATCTTGACTAGATCTGATTTTTAAAAACCAAAGACTTACAGAAGATACTTTTCAGCAATTGGAAACATTTTAGTCTTAATTGCTTATTAGTATTACTGACTTGCTATTTTTCTCAGGTAGGATACCAGTAATTGTGGTTACATAGGAGAATGTCATCAGGAGACCGATGTATGCTGAAGAATTCAGGGGCCACGTGTCAGCATGTCTATAATTTGTTTTTGTGATGGGTTCTCACTGTGTTGCCAAACTGGTCTCAAAATCCTGGCTTCAAGTATTTTCCCGCTTCAGCGTCCTAAGTACCTGGAACTATGGGGATACCTTACCATACTTGGCTTGGGGAGAAAATAAGTRTATACAGTAAAAGCAAAAGTAACCAGGTGTGGATTAGTGCACCTAAGTGAAGGGCTATAAACTTTTCTGTAGGCTTAGAAATTTAAGAAATATTTATATTTTGAGAAGGGTAAAGAAAGGAATATCTGCCTCATAAAACCACAGACATGAAATTCCAGCCAGAGTGCCAGACCCCAATGAATAGCCAGAATCAATAAATTTCAGATTTGTTATTGCTACTAAGAAGCATTTTCATCCCCAAATGTTGCTGCATTTTGGAGGCTGACGAAGCCAACCAGGGTTAAGCTAAAATGGCCCAGAATTGGAAGAGTTTTAGAATTTAAAGTTGGGTGATCTCTCTAGATGGACGCACCACTCACAGAAACCACGCCACTGGATTGCCTGCCACACCAGACCCAGGCTGGGGAAAGAGGGCTGCAGAGGCCTTGTTCCTGAATCCAGAGTCTGCTACTGCAGCAGCAGGAAACTCCTGCCATGGCTTTCACTCAGGATGTTCACAGAGAGGGTCACTTTTGGGCCTCAGAAATGTTGAGGATGGGCAGAAAGAACCAGCAGGGCTTTGCAGGRTAGAGGATAGTACATAGTCTTTGGCCTGAACTTGTATGTGAATCAGGTTCTGGGGCTTGGCTTACTGTGTGGCCCTAGGCCACTTCCTGGGCAGATAATGATGATCATAATCACTACCATAATAGAAATAATAAGAACTAACATTTACTGAGCAGTAACTACTGTGTTATGTATTTCAGTCATGTTAATCTCTCTTTAATCTCATAGGTAAAGTAGACACTATTATATCCCTGCTTCATAGGTAACCATGGCAGGCCCTGTCTTTCTTCTGCAATTTGGCATCTGCCATCCCCGCTGCAGGTTCTGGGAAGGAAAATCTCCATTTGCCACACCTCTCAACTGGGATTCTTCCTCCTCTTTAACTTCTGAGCATTTTATTCTCATTCCTTACAATAGCCAAATAAGTAGATGGTTGCTGGGCCTCCTTATTGAGGTTAGGAATGTTCCCTCTGTCTCCAGAAACCCACCCCAGGCTGTCACCTACCAATAAGAAGATCTAGTCTCTCTTGGGTTCTTAAAACTTATTACAGGTGGTGATACACACCTGTAATCCCAGCTATTCAGGTGGCTAAGGTAGGAGGATCACAAGTTTGAGGCTGGCCTGGGCAACTGTCTCAAAATGAAAAAAGGGCTGAGGATGCAGCTCAGGGGGAAAGCACTTGTCTACCATGCATGAGGCCCTGAGTTCAATCCATAGTACCACACTTTAAAAAAAAATTTTTTTTTAAATACACTCTTGAATTTTCAACTTGGAATCTAGGGTATGGGGCAAGGACCAGTAGATCATCTGAAAGTAAATGCAAGGAGAGCTCCCACTATGTAGCAGAATGAACAGAACATGGTCAAGTAAATTTCAAGGATGTCAATACTTAGAGTGAGTAATGTGCCTTCCAATAAACCAGAGATTTCTCCATCTTATTCAGTTAGCCCACTAGGATAAAGACTCTCACTCACAGCCCTTGGGACTATGTAGGGACATTGCCCTTTCTATCCTACACCCTACAGCTACATCATTAGTCCCATTTTGTAAGGCCTGTATTGTCCCACTTTTTTTTTTTTTTTTTTTTTAAAGACACGGTCTCACTAGATTGCCTATGTTTGCCCAGGCTGGCCTCAAAACTTGAGATACTCCGGCCTCAGCTTGGATCACAGGCATGTGTCAGCATGCTCAACTCCAGGCTGTATCTCTAAGCCTACAGGCTGCTTCCCAAGGCAGAYACAAGGCATCTTGGAGTGAGAAGCCCATTAGGGTAGGGGAAGGGGGAAACCTGGGGTAGAAGAAAGACACCTGACCTGGCAAGACTGCCCTACTTGCACAGCAAAGTATTCTTTCACCTGGTGCAGGGTCCCAACAACCACCATCCCCCATCCTCTTCTAGAATTTTCCTTTGCACTCTTAGCTCACTCTCAGGCTTCACCTTGTGGTTTTCCTCTAGCATAAGCACCTCATTTGATCCATTCTGTCCCAATGGCTTTCCTGCTTCTCCTAACAATGATAATTTTATAAACAAAGAGCTTTCCAATTAGTCTCTCCGTTTCATCTTCACAACGCCACGGCTTGGCATTCTGAAGCATTGGGGGACCTGGTCCTGCTGAAMAACCTGTGAAAGGCAGGTCGTCAGAACTTTTGTTTCCTCTCTGCCACCCACCCCAGGCTAAACCTCTGCCTCTCTGGAGTGCCAGAAAAAAGCAGGGCCTCTGGAGCAAGGACTCTTGAGTGTTTGGGCAAGTCGCTTCTCCTGTGTTCCTCACTGGTAAACAGATATGATGACGTCTGGTCTTTACAGGGTGTGAGAGCTGAATGAGATCATGTGTATGACGCACTGAGCTCAAGGGACGGGCTCTTTATTTCTAGTCACAAGGAAACGAAGGTGTTCTGTATATCCACAGGCCCTTGCTCACACCAACAGCGCTGCGCACCCTGGGCTCTCCAGAGCTGGGAGGGGGCCCTTTCATCTTCGGGTCCCCGCTCGTTTCGCCAGGCCCCTCCACCCTATCCAAACCAGGCTCGCCTCGCCGGTTCTCAGCTCACACTCCTCAACCCGTGACTTCCTCCGACCTGACCTGAGACCTCCTCTCGCTTAGAGACCCCGCCCCTCCTCGCCCCACCTTCCAAAGACTCCTCCCACAGCCCCGACCCTCTGATCCGGGGTTTCCCACCGTCACCTTCCTCCTAGCTCCTCCCACCAGCCCCGCCCCCTTTTACAGTTCTATTCCCCTGCCCCCGCTCTCCTCTACCCGAAACGCGCCCCTCCCCCCGCAGCCACTGGCATAGGCATCCCATTTCACAGACGAGAACGGCGAGGCTGGAGTAGGCGACCTTCCATGGTAAGACGGGTGCCCTAAGGGACACGCGTCCTTCACCGTGGGTCTCGAGCCCCCCGCCCCGGCCCGCACCGCACCCACCTCCAGCCCTCGCTCTGCAGCCTCCCCTCCGCGGGCGGCCAGCGCAGCTTTGCGAGGAGGCGGAGGGCCGGGGCCCAACCCAGGGGCGTGGCGGCTCCGAGTCTGCGCGCCGCGCTCGGGACTTGTAGTTCTCTCTGCGCTTCTCAGGGCCCGGCGCACTGGGCGCGGACTCCATCTCCCAGGAGGCGCTGCGAAGGCCGCCCAGCTTCCCGCCCCGCCCCTGCCGGCGCACAGGCCAGCTGGTCTTAAAGGGGACGCAGCCCGAGTGGCGGCTAGCGGGGTGGCCCCCGCTCGGCTCCGCCCTTTTTCCCGCACCTCGCCCCTCCCCCCGCTTCGTCCCGCAGCCCCGGGGCCGCGCCGCAGAGTCGGGCTGCCCGGGTCCATACAGGGTAGTGCAGAGCTGGGTGGGAAGATTGGACTTTGCAGTGGCTGCAGCATCCTTGCGGTCTGGGACCTGGCGGAGGGCGACCCCACCCTGGGGGGAGTAGAGGACCCGCCCTGACCTAGCTTGGCCCAGCCTAGTCCTGCCCGGCCTGAGCACCCCGCCCAGGAGCCGGTTCTGAGGTAGGGCCCGCTGAGGTCCGGGAGGTAAGGGGGCTGAATGTGTATGTGTTGGGGGTTTGGGGGGGGGGGTCTGCACCCTGACGTTTCAAAAATCCCGGACTTGCCCCAGGGCTCTGCGAGCCCCGGGCTGGGAGGCGGGAGGTCTGAGTGCATCCTGGGCCTCGCTGTGTGACCTTGGGCCAGTAACTACCCCTCTCTGGGCCTCAGCCTCCTCCTCCATCAATTGTATATTGAGATGTCTAGCTCCTCAGGGCTGAGAGTAACTGCGCGCAGTTCCATAAGCTCTCCATCCTTTTGCGGGGGGGCCCAGCCTGGACTAGATAGGGTGCATTGATATAATTGGAGGGAGGGGGCTGAGTTGGGGCACAAACTGGGGGGGAGGGACAGAGGCCACCACTACTTGGAATAGACTTCTGCTGTACTCAGCATACTGGACCTGGGGTACTTCATCTATAAAGGCCCCTGCGTTTTGGCGACCTGATGTGTCAGCTTGGTGCCCTCCCTTCCAGAAAGCCTGGAATGGGGGTGGGGGTGCGGTGAAAGAGGTTTGCGAGGGGTGGCCTCCTCAGGAGTGGTGGAGTGTGTTCCCCAGGAGGGAACAGCTGCTCCAACCTTCCTCTCTCTCATTTCCCTTCAATAAAAGAGCACTTGCTTTTTACCAGTAAAAGCTTTTTTTTTTTTTTTTTTTTTTTCTTCCTTTCTTTCCAGGAGGCAGTTTGTTGGCCCAGACAAGGGCTTCCAGAGTAGGGTGAAGGGCTCCTTCCCAGGACTGCCTGGACTAGAAGAAGTTCAGTTTAAAAATACCTAGAGACAGCTGCCCTGAGACCTGGAGGGGCCAGAAAGGGAGGGCACTTCCTGTTGGGAGGGACAGCTTGGTTTCCCTCCTCACCCCCCACACACCCAGGAGAGTCAGGAGAGGGMGGCTCCTTGTGAGGGTCCCAGAGGAGGGGAAAGGGGCTCTTCCACTGTAGGTGCTGAGGTGGGGGAGCAAGACCCCTCCTTCCCTCTCCCCCATGAGGAGATTCTGTGAGCTTTTGACCTGAGAGTTAACCAGGGACAGGTTTTTTGTTTTGCTTTTTCCTTCTGCTTTGTTTGGATTATTTCTAGAATGGCTAAAGCCTGTCTCAGCCCGYTCCAGTGGCCTCTGTAGGGGCTTTCTTGGCTGATATTTAAGGTTCTCAGGGTTATGGACATGCAAGTCCCAGCCTGGTCAGGGGAGGGGCAGTGGATGGACCCAGGGTTAGGACTGTCTCTGGAGGTCCTTTTCTGATTGCATTCTTGGGTTTACCTTGTCTTGCTGTCACATATCATCAGCCACTAGGCACACCTTCACATATGCTTCTGTGGTCCTCTCCTGGGCACTGTGCACAGAGACGGGGATTAGACATACTTCCTACCCATGCAGAGAGACGTGGAATCCAGCTGTACTGCAGAAGGATAAAAGAAGCTGAGAGGGCCTTGAGGTCTGAGCTCAAAGCCTCAATCATGGAGGGATAAGGAAAGGCCCCCTAGAGGAGGGGCTTGGGAGCTGGACATTGCAGGATGAGCCAGAATTTGTAGAAGAGGGAGACAGCCGGCAGAGAGGACATCAAGAAAAGCCCACTGCCCAAGTCTCCTGAGCGGCCTCTGAACAGTGTCAAGTTCAGCCCATCCCTGCCCCACAGTGTCACAGACCCATCTGTGACAGCCTGAGTGTCAGGCTCAGGAGTTTGGACCTTATCCTGTAGGGGATGGCAGGATGGAGCTCGTGGTACCATGAGGTTAATCTGTGGAGAGTAGTGAAGGCTGAGCTGGGGCCCAGGGTGTGGGGTTGGAGCCAAGCATTGGAGCTGTGGGGACACACACACCTGTACATACACACATACGCACTGGGTGTTTGTGGGTGATGGAGATGGCACATAGTAGAAGTGCCAAGGGTCAGCCGAGAAAGACTGATAAACGGATGTTGGCCTTGGGTAGGGACTGAGTTTCTTGTGTGCTTACTGTGAGCCCTGGGGGGTTCTGGTGTTGCCGGGACTCTYGGGCTGTCGTGCCAGCAGGCTGAGGGTGCAAGCTAAGGGCTTGGGTGGCGGTGAGGCAGGCATGCTTGCTGGGAAAGGTTAAGGGGTGGGTAGGTAGTCATGTCCATTTTGGAATTTGGAGGCTCAGAAAGCCGAGAAAGCACTGACCTCAACAGCTGTGGCCACCAAAGCAGGTGGTGTCTGAACTAGAGTCAAAGCCTGGACTCTGTTCTCCTCCAGGACACAAGCCTCTATTGGAGGACAGGTTGAGGGAGGGAATGAGAAGATGGGTTAGGAGATTACTGCACTAGTCCAGGCAAGGAGGAAAGAGGAGCTGACCCTGGGTGGGGCTGGAGCTCAGGGAGAGACGGCGGAAACAGTGGACATGGAGGGCGGGCTAATGGAGGGACTTCCTTGTTGAATCAGCTAGATCAGCAGCACCTGTCTCCTTCTCCAAACCATGTCTGTCTCTCCCCTCACTGCCAAATGGCCCAATAATAGACTCACAACTGCCCTGGCCTTCATGTTCTTTAGACCTTGTCCCAGCCCTGTGAGTGGCAGGCCCACAGCAGACCCCATTTTCCAACAGAAGGCTCAGGAGCCAGGCAGGAACTCACCCAAGGTCACCTGGTGATTCCAAATGAGAGAACCTGGTCTCCTGCTTTTAGTGCAGGCTCTTCTGAGGGAGGAGAGCTGCTCTTGCTGCTGCAATTGGCATGGGACAGCTGTCTCTTGGGTCCAAGCCAGTGTGGACAGGCCATCTCTTCATCCAGGGCCTGGCAGGGTAATCCTGCCCCGTGAGGAATGCCCGAGGCCTGCTCTTTCCTCCCCGAGGGAGAGAGAGTTCAGGGCCTAATGCTGCCCTGGTAAGGTCACATGACGCTCCCTCTCTGAGCCTCAGCCTCCCTGCTCCTGCTGGGGTAGCAGAACTTCCCTGGCCTTTTGTGGGGTCAGGTGAGGTCAAAGCCTTTAAAACCCTTTTGCACGAATGCATCTGAGACGTTATTGAGTGGGTTTGTTGGTGACCATGGTGACTGCTGACCTGACTGCTGGCGTAGGAGTGGGGGCAGGTAAGCAGAGCTAGTGTGGTGTGGCCAGGCCACAGACTGAGCTGGGCTTCAAGGCTGGCCCTGAGATGGAACAGCACTKCGGCCTGGGCTCCCAGCTGCCAGGCACCACCCACCTCCTGTGGTAGGTATTAGAACGTTATGGAATCGCTGCGGTTGGGTCACTCGGCAGCTAGCATCTCATTGGTGAGGGCTTCTCCTTAGCTGCCTGAGGGCCAGGGTTTCTTGGCACCTGGTTTGAAAATATGTTAAATCCACTAGCCTACAGGGCAGGCGGAGGCCATCGCAGGGATCTGAGAGTATGGACTGTTGTGTGAGGTGGGCCACAGCAACTGCCGTGTCACAGGCACTGCCTAAGACTGAACGGAAATCTATTTGTTTTTTTTTTTTTTTTTTTTTTTTTTTTTTTTTTTGGTGCTGAGGATTGAACCCAGGGCCTGACACAGGCTGGACAAGTGCTCCTGCATGGAGCTGTCCCCCCAGCCCAGGAGAGCAGTTTCAAAAGATGCTTTAAAGTCCTTTTGAGATCACGCCTTGCACTGGCACTCTTTACAAATGTGTCTGTCCACCACCAGACACATTTAAGTGTCTGGGACATTGCTTAAGGGGCTGGGACTTTGCTTCCTCAAGCAACAGGAAGTGACATTTTCTGAGAACTTTCTTGTGCCTAGCATCATGCTAAGGATTGTCTTCACAGCCCTGCAAGGTGGAAATAAGCTTGAGGAGCATATGTAACCTTCATGGTAGCCAGAATGCATCCCAGATGAGCCTCACCGGAAGAGGGAAAAGGCTAAGTCTGACACACCATTTGCCCTGCTTCCTAGTTCAGGAGACCTGGGTGGACCCTGGGCAACTGATTTTTTTTTTTTTTTCTCCAAGACAAGTTTTTGTTTAAAAAAAAAAAAAAGCAAGCAACAAAAAGATGCATTCCATTTAATAACAAATGTAAAAATAGAAGCCAAGTGACATTTGAAAAGCTAGCTAAGCAATAGATTTAAAAAATAAAGGGGCTGGGTAGCTCATTGGTAGAGCACTTGCACAGCATACGTGAAGCCCTGGGTTCGAACCCCAGCACTGTCAAGCATACAAAGGCCTACAGTTAGATGCTAAGGGCTCCTGAATTTTTAACACGTGTCCAGGTGATTCTGAAGCAGCCAGGCCAGCATCAGGGAATCACTGAGCTGTGTCATGGCTGCATCCTCTAACCACAGAAAACTCTTAAGAGTCACTTTCTCAGCACAGGAGGCACCAACCACCTAGAAGTAGGCTCTTATCCCTGCTCCAAGGAGTTCACAGCCTGGTGAGAGACACAGACTCTTCTTAAACAAATGGGCTTCTTATACAATAAAATGCAGACGTGCAACTCTGGTCACAGTCAAACAGAGAAGGGAKCATAGTGTGTCCCTGGGGTCTGGCACATTGTTGAGGTCCCAGAATAACTCAGCTTCTGAATCAAGTTTTCTGTCCTGTTATCCAGGATGTATCTGGCTGGTCTTCACACCTGCTGCAGGTATGAAGCTYCAGAAGTTTTTACCAAGCCAGTAAGTTTAGTTAACATCTACATATGCTGAGCCTTGTAACCAGTCCTATCTAAGGTGGGATTGCACAAAGAAGTTGAGAGTTAGGTATGAAGACAGCACGCTGTACCCATGGAAACGAGCATGAGAACCAGGACTCAAAATGGATGAGCATGGGGCAAGAGCTTCCAGAAAAGGGCTGAAGGAAGGCTCTGTGGCTCAGAGGAGTATGGTTGAGGTAACTCGCTTTCTCCTCTGTATTTGCCCTCCCAAGAAATGCCTACTATGTGCTTAGGCATTGCTGTGTGCTGGGGATACTGTGGGGAACAAAACCTGACCACATATAATGTTGGGGAGGCTGACCTCAATCAAATAATACTAAATGCTATAAAGAGAGCAAGATGTTCAGATTTTTTAACAAGAGGGTCTGACTCAGGCAGGGAGGTCAGGCAAATCTTCCTTGATGAAGTGAGTTTTCAGCTGAGGTCTCCAAACAAGGAGAAGGAAGAGCATGCACAAAGGCCCAGTGGCAGAGAGAACATGACAAGCCAGGAATGAGCGGTCCAGTGTAAGTTAGGGCTGGAGAGGCAGGCAGGGCTCTAGGTGTGCAGGACTGTGGATCCTGACCCAGAGGAAGGGCTGAGCATGGAGAGGAGATGCTGGGCCTTGGTGGAGGGGATGGGGACCATACTGCCCCAGCACTAAGTGATTGCAGCTGTCATAAAAGAACAGGCTACAGGTGGTCATAGGAATCGAGGGTCAGGATTGGCTCATGCCTAGTGCCTCAAGATGGCCTCCATTAGGAGGGTGTTTTAGATAGACTTTTAGGAAAATAGGAGCTTGCCTGGCTCATGTGGTGATGGGACTTGGAGCTAGGATGTGCCAGGCAAAAGGCACAGCACAAAGAAGTGGGGACTTGCAAAGGTGTACTAATTTGGGAAAGGGCAAGGCATTTGAGTGAGAGCAGAGTGTGAGATAGCCAGGGCTGGCCCCCACAGGCATTGAGTCCTCTCCCCTAGAAGATGTGACTTGACCAGGACTCCACACAGCAGCTTCTRGATCCAGTATTATCTACCTGCCCCRGGAATGGCTGAGGTCTCCAGGGAAGCATGGGGAGAGGAGGTGGGCAGGTGCTCTGCAGTGGGAGCCCCTGACTCCCTGGGGTTTACTGTGTGCCACGTTTTGAGCTTTACTTTGTCAGGACTCCTTCCAGAGAGGTAGGTATCATTACCCCATCTCACAGATGAGAAAATTGAGGCCCAGAAAGGTTGAGTCGCTCAGCACTGGAGGGACAACAGCAGAAACTTGACCATAGCTCTTGAGCCCCACAACTTTTGGGCAGGGTATGACCCCACTTCCTGTCCCCTGCAGCTAGGCCGTCATGGACAAGATCCTGGAGGCGGTGGTGACCTCGTCATACCCTGCAAGCGTGAAGCAAGGGCTGGTGCGGCGCGTCCTGGAGGCGGCACGGCAGCCACTGGAGAGGGATCAGTGCCTGGCCCTGCTGGCCCTGGGCGCGCGCCTCTATGTGGGAGGCGCCGACGAGCTGCCACGCCGCGTGGGCTGTCAGCTGCTGCACGTGGCCGGCCGCCATCACCCCGATGTCTTCGCCGAGTTCTTCAGCGCGCGCCGCGTGCTGCGCCTGTTGCAGGGTGGCGCGGGCCCGCCGGGTGCCCGCGCGCTGGCCTGTGTGCAGCTGGGCCTGCAGCTGCTGCCCGAGGGGCCCGCGGCTGAGGAGGTGTTCGCGCTGCTGCGGCGCGAGGTGCTGCGCACCGTGTGTGAGCGCCGGGGGCCCGCCGCCTGCGCGCAAGTGGCCCGGCTGCTGGCGCGGCACCCGCGCTGCGTGCCCGACGGCCCGCACCGCCTGCTCTTCTGCCAGCAGTTGGTGCGCTGCCTCGGCCGCTTCCGCTGCCCCGCGGAGGGCGAGGAGGGAGCGGTGGAGTTCCTGGAGCAGGCCCAGCAGGTGAGCGGGCTCCTGGCACAGCTGTGGCGTGCGCAGCCTGCCGCCATCCTGCCCTGCCTCAAGGAGCTGTTTGCAGTTATCTCCTGCACAGGTGCGTGTGCGGCGGGGCCAGAGCACGGGCCCGCCGAGGTCCTGGATGGGTCCTGGGGCAGGAGTCTGTCTATCTGTGTGGATTGTCTGCATGTTAGGCGACACAGTAGCGCGGCATGTGTGTGCGAGGGGTGATGCACAGGTGGGGGATTGCGCTGTTACTTCACTTAGTTAGCAGTCCTGTCCTGAGCACCACTGTGGATCCTCTGCCATGGCGGGTGCTGGAAATGCAGGCAATAGTGGGCTGCCTGGTACATAGGATGACGAGCAATGGAGCAAGAGGGAAGAATGGGCTAGAGGAAGCCACAGAATGGTGGGTCATCGAGGCTTTTGGGTCAGGTGGGCTGCCTGGAAGTTAGGCTTTTGAACCTGGTCTTGAGAGATTGGCAGCACCTGGCAGCAAGGATGATGAGGGGAGGGTCTGGAGACCTTAAGAAGCTTGCAGGTGTACTGTAGAATCTTGACCCTCCATTGGCAGCTGTGGAACTGAATTCTAGGGCAAATGACTGAAAGAAGATCTTTGCCTTCCCTGATCTTGGGGCTAGCTGGGGGAAAGGAACTGGACTACACCAGGCAGGAAACAGAACCAAAGCTCTGTGTATAGTCAACACCTGGGCAATGAATTTGGATAACTCACCCGTAGGCCCGTGTCTATATGCCTTTCCTCCCAAGTGCACCCTCCCCTCCTACCCTTTCTGGCTAGTTCTAGTATTATGCCTTCTAAAGGACTTGCCCCTGCATCACAGTTGGGGGTTAGTGCTTTGTCTTGGGGACACTGGCTGGGACCAGGCTGGGACCTGGCAAGGTGGTGAATGGATGAGTGAGCAGTAATCCGGGGCTGTGATGCTGTAGGGGGAGAGGAGGTGGCCCTGATGTGCTCTTTGCAGAGGCCCAGCTTGTAGTTCTGTGGCAGCATGAGGGCAGGGAGTGGTGGGGAAGGGAAGAGGACTGCCTGCCTGGCTAAGCTCTGTCTATTTTCCTGTTCCAGAGGAGGAGCCGCCATCTAGCGCCCTGGCCAGTGTGGTCCAGCACCTCCCCTTGGAGCTCATGGATGGTGTGGTCCGGAACCTCAGCAATGATGACAGTGTGACGGACTCCCAGATGCTGACTGCTATCAGCAGGTGGGAAGCTGAGGGCTGGACAGTGGGGAGGGCTGGGCAGTGGGCAGCGCTAGGGCCCCTCCCTTTCTTCCTCCCAGAAGCCCCTTCCACTGGGTGTGGATGCTGTGCTAGGTTGGGGGTTGGAGGCCAGGCCCTCATATTTGTTTAGTTACTCAACCGTTCTCCAGCCCTCTCTGTGCTTGGCCCTGGGCTGGATGTGAGGGACACAGAATCCTGCTATAATGATGCTGCCAGGCTAGGTACCAGCTGTGTGACTCTGGAAGTGTCAAGGAACTGTTTCCTCCTCTGTAAAAGTGGAGGTGGGTGGTGGTATGAGAAGTTGCCAGACTTCCAGGCTTCCGTGGGGCTGTATAAGCAGGTGAAAATGGCTGGGCATGGTGGTGCCCTTCTGTAATCCTACCTACTGGGGAGGCTGGGGCGGGAGGATCGCAAGTTCAAGGCCAGACTCAGCAACTTAGTGAGACTGTCCCAAAATAAAAAATGGGTTGGAGATGTAGCTCAGTGGTAGAGTACTTAGTATTGTAGGCCCCCAAATAACAACAGAGTACTTCATGACATGCTTTCTAAGTTTGGCAAATACCAACAACAGTCTGGTTCTTTTCAGCTCATTGAGCTCTTGTACATCCCTCCTCCCTCATTTGAATGTTGTCATACCTGTGATCTATCCTAAMGGGCCTGTCTGGGAATCCCAGAGTATACCGCTGACTACTCAGACCCCAGGCACGCAGCTTGCCTCTTTCTGCCATTCTTCTCATGCCCATGTGCAGGCCCACCATCTCTGCAGGGCCTTCCTGGATTCCTTGTCATTAGCGGTTAGGAGCGTGGGCACTACTAGAGCCAAATTGCCCCAGATGCAATCCTGCCTCAACCACTTCTTGCTGGTGACTTTGCATAAGTAATCCAACCTATTTCAATTTCCTCAGCTATAAAGTGGTATATAATTGAGCCTAACATAGAGTTTTTAGGATTAAATTGGATGAAATGACAGACATGTAAAGTGTCTAGAACAGTGCTATGGAAACTACTATTATAATTAGCGTTACTGGGCTGGGGTTGTGGTTCAGTGGTAGAGCACTTGCCTAGGATGTGTGAAGCACTGGGTTCAATTCTCAGCACTGCATATAAATAAATAAATATCCATTGACAACTAAAATCATTAGCATTACTTTCTTTGTTTTTTAAAAAAATCTTTAACATTACTTTCTTTGTTTTTTTAAAACTTTTATTCTAATTTGTTATACACGATAGCAGAATGCATTTCAATTCATAGTACACATATAGAGCACAATTTTTCATGTCTGGTTGTACACAAAGTAGGGTCTTTATACACTTTCTTTGTTCTTTATGGCACAGTCTGAGTATAAAATAACAAGCCAGCTGGGCACAGTGGCATACGCCTGTAAGTCCAGCGGCTTGGGAAGCTGCAGCAGGAGAATCACAAGTTCAAAGCCAGCCTCAGCAAAAGTGAGGTGCAAAGTAACTCAGTGAGACCCCGTCTCTCCATAAAATACAAGATAGGGCTGGGGATGTGGCTCAGTGGTTGAGTGCCCCCGAGTTCAATCCCCAGTACCCCCTGCCAAAAAAATTAAATAAATAAATAAATAAATAAATAAATAAATAAAATAGCAAGCCTAGTAGTGTTTTCCTGAGTGCCTTCTGCTTCAGCATTGAGCCTAATCCAAGGAGTGGCATTATGAGGATCAGATGAGATAATCCATATAAAGCAGAGCACGCCCTGTGCAGGCCGATGCTACTTGGTGTTGGCTTTTGTTACCTGCCTCACAGAATTGTCATATTGGTTGAAAGAGAGATCCTCCTCATTTTGTAGAGGAAGAAACTGAGGCCCAGAGAAGGGAAGTGTCTTGCTCCGGGTCACGTGGTGAGGGCCTGCTGGAGCCAGATCTTTAGTCCCAGAGGTGGCTAGAGGTCCCATTCCCCCACGCAGCCCAGCCTGGAGGGGTGAGGTTTGGGGCACCGAGAGGCTCCTTTCCTGGTGGGGTGAGCCTCAGTCTGTGAGGTGTCTGTGCAGGGCTCATTTGCATTTTCCGAGAGCTGTCTCTTCGCCTCCCAGACCCCACAGCTGCCCCGTGCAGGTGTGGGTCCCTGGGAACTGAAGACATGGCTAGTCTCTGGGCTGCCCTCACCCCTGCACTTGGGCCTCACTTGTCCCTATGTCACCGTGACCCCCCCTTGCTAGGATGATCGACTGGGTGTCCTGGCCCTTGGGGAAGAACATTGACAAGTGGATCATTGCACTGCTGAAGGGCCTGGCCGCTGTGAAGAAGTTCAGCATCTTGATCGAGGTTTCACTTGCCAAAATYGAGAAGGTTGGTGGTCCCTGTCCCGGCCCAGGCTTGCAGTCTTTCCTTCTGGTCTCTTGCTGGGGCCGTGCAGATCTGGGAAGCGGAGTACTGAGGCTCCCACCCAAGCCCACTGTGTAACTTGGGCCAGAAATGACACTTCACACTGCCCCCCCTCTGGGCCTCCGGTTCCCCCATTGCTTGGTTCCTCTGATCGCCCACTGGAGTGAGGATGTCTTTGTCCATCCACCAGATTTCTAACTTTCTTGCTGCCTGTTTTGCTGTTTGTCAGTTCATCTGGGTCTGCGAGCACCTCCGTGTTCTTRCTCCTATCTGGACTGCCACTTCAGCTCTGCCGTGTCTCAGTCCCCTCTCGGCCTGTGTTGCCCTTGGCCTTGGGTGGCCCAGGCCGGAGGACTCCTGATCAGGCCCYTTCTCCTAGGTCTTCTCCAAGCTGCTGTACCCCATTGTCCGGGGAGCYGCCTTGTCTGTCCTCAGGTACATGCTCCTGACTTTCCAGCATTCCCACGAGGCCTTCCACCTGGTAAGGGTCCCTGTCTGCTGCCCCAGGGTGGGTGGCCCTGTGTTCCCTCCAGCCTGGAGGTGGATATTTTTCTCTGTTGGGGAGGAGGGGTGGAGCCTGACRCCCCAGACCTTGAGGCCCTGGATGTTAGCACAGGGGGTGCTGGAAACCCACTGTACAGACAGGATGCCRAGGCCACAGCATTTGTGTGCCTTTTCCCTGGGCACACAGTAGAGTGACAGAGCCTTGACTGATGACCACTAGTATTCCTTGGGCCTGGGTCTGCCGGGCACAGAGCTGAAGATGGYATCACGTTCATTCATCCAATTCCTAGACAGAGTTTCTGCCATTGACAAGTGGATCATTGCACTGCTGAAGGGCCTGGCCGCCCTTCAGCAAAAAATGATACCATTTTTTTTCAGATGAAGAAAGGGAAGTTCAGGGAAGTTAAGTCACTTGTCCTGGCCACACAGCTGGTGACAGAACAGAGAAGCCAAGTTGGTCTGATTCCCAACCCACTGTCCTTCCTATACCCCTTGTCCCCCAGYGCCCAGGTGGCCTGGCCTCTAGCTCGGGCCCTTCCTGTCGTCCTCATGGTCCTCCCTTGGCAGGGCTGCTGCCTCACTCTGCCTGTTTTCCCTGGGACCTGCATGTGGGGCCCCAGAYTCTGGTGGCCCTGGTCAGGGCAGTGACACTTCACACTGCCCAGTTTGCTGCAGTGGGCTAAGCCAGAATTTGGGGGACTCAGGGTTGAGCCCCAATCTTCCATTTACCTGATGTGGTGACCTTGGGCTGGACACTGAAGCTCAGAGCCTAGCATGGGGAAACCTTAGTCAGGGGGAGGGGATTGGATAAGGTGATATTTGATTGGAGCCTGTCACATGTTGGGGGCTTGACAAGAACATTTCCTTCCATCCTTCTTGGCTTCCTCCTTCCTGTGGCCCAACTTTGTCATGATATTATTTCAAACCCCAGGAGCTTGAAGATTGAAACCCCGTGGGTCAGGGGATAGAATGGGCTTCAGACTTAGACTTGGCTTAGACACCAACCTCCGTAACCCACAGTGAAATGCTGGCAATTTCTGTAACCTCCCTGGGGCTGGGCGTGTAGYTCAGTGGTAGAGCGCTTGCCAGGTATGTATAAGGCCCTGGGCTCAGTGCATAGCACTGCAAAGAAGTTCTTATTACGTAGCCTGGAGTTTCTGTGTCTGCATCTGTAGGATGCGGGTGATCGTGGATACATAAAGTCACCGTGAAGATGAAGCTTGGCATGCAAATGTTTGTTGGAGGAATGAGGGTGTTTGTCCCTAGAGGCTGTGCACATGCTGTCAGGGCCCACCCAGCTGGCTGTGTTGTGGCCCCAGCATCACTTCCAGGCAGAGTAGCCCTGGTCGCTCAGGCCTTCAGGATCTCGGGGCAGGTCATTTGGCTGAGGCTAAACAGCGGGAGCTTGGGCTCAGGCCTCCCTTCCACTGTGAGGGTATTTATMCTATTTCACGGATGAAACTGAGGCACGAAGTCTTGGGGTGTGTTTCGTACCAGGATATCACCTGCCCACAGAGCTCCCCCATCTGGATGAAGGGGACAGTGGTCATGTACCTCAAAGAGCTCTGGGTGCTTTCAGCCGTGACCACAGTCCCACTTCCCAGAGGTTAAGTGGAACTTGACCTGGCCCCCCTCTGCTCCCACAGCTTCTCCCTCACATCCCCCCCATGGTGACCTCTCTGGTCAAGGAGGAYTCGAACTCAGGGACCAGCTGCCTGGAGCAGCTGGCGGAGCTGGTCCACTGCATGGTGTTCAGGTTCCCGGGATTCCCAGACCTGTATGAGCCTGTCATGGAGGCCATCAAGGTGAGTCACAGTCCCCCCCTAGACCCCCAGCCTGCTCTAGCTCTTGGGTCTTCCTTGGGTTGGTGGCAGCTTCCTGTTATTTGATTCTAGGCTGTCTCCTGTCACCTCCCCAGGCCAGTGTGTGCTTTGGGCACCCTGAGCTACCCACTGTTCCTCAGATGGGTCGTCCTGTCATGGCCACCCTGAGCCCTTGTTCTCCTGTGAACCTTTCCCCATCTGCTCSATTGCTTTGTCCTTCGTGCCTCTGCACAAGTGTGGCTCCCTCCTGAAGCCTTCCCTGTAACTCTACCACCCTGCTGCCAGGCTGGGCCAGGGCCTCTCTGGGCTCTTATGGCCCTAGTGCATGGTGTCACACATTCACTGTGTGTATGTCCCCCACCAGTGTGAGCACTCCAGAGCAGGGTGGCCTTCTCTGTACCAAGCCAACAGAGGACACGAGAATGAAGCAAATGGCCTCCTTTATTGAGGCCTCTCAGCCCAGGGCAGGTGACACAGCTGTGTGTAAGGAAGGCTGATCTAAGAGCTTGCCTTGTCCACGGGGGTGGTGCCAAGGAGGCAGAGATCCTCTCCATTTGAGGAGGAGGCTGTGTGAGGAAAGGTTTCTCGGCTGTTGTGGTAGGTCTCTAGGGACTGAGTGTCGCCAGCACTTGTAGGTAGTGCTGCACGACGGTGTTTTCCCACATGATTTTGTCTAATATTTACAAGAAACCTGAGAAGCAGATGATACCTCATAGATGAGGAGAATGAGGTTTGGAGAGCTTTGGGGATCCGTTGAGTCTCCGAGACAGCCAGAGCCCGGGATTGCCCAGGCCTTTCCCATGTCAGACACAGCGGCAGGCCCAGGTGTTGGGGAGGATGTCTGGGTTGGTGGCCCTTGTAGAACCTCTGCCCTTCRCACTGTAGCACTGACTCCAGATCCTCTGGAAAGTGTCCCCCACAGAACATCTAGAAACGCTTGTCAAGATATAACATCTTTTTAAATTAAATAGGTAAGCTTGCAAGAAAGTCAGGGAAGAGGGATCCCTAGGAGCCAAAGAGGACTAGAAAACCGAATTCTGTTGTGGAGAGGGTGATGTTCTTTTGCCTTGGGGTGGGGCAGGACAGTAGAGGGTACGAGGTGAGATGGCCAACCTCAGCCATGAAGGGACTAGAGACGAGGCTTGGGGCCTATTTTCGGTAGGGAGTTGGCACTATGCAGCCCACTGAAGGCCAGGAGAGGCTTTACTGTTAATAATAAAAAAAAAATCTGGAAAAATATACAAATGGTCCAAAATAAACATCAAGGAAACTTCTGGCTTGGTCTGGACTCTGGACTGGGGAAAAAACAGTTTTTACAACCAGCTGCCTACTTTCATGTGGGTTTAGGGGTTCCAATTCAGGTCATTTTGGGGTTTGTAAGGCCCAATCTCAGATATTAACATTAAAAGTATTCATAAATTCATACCCATGGGTTGCTTAGGAGGCACAAACAAAAGTYATAAAATTCTATTGACGATGAATCTATTTGTATTTTTTAATCCGAAATCACAAAATGGGGGCATCCCACCAGTTCTGGGGGTAAATTACAATAAACCAAACCTTCTATCAATTTCTTGAATCTTCTGTTTTTGGGACTCCACACGGGAGAGTGTTCTGATAGAGTGAACACGCAGTGGGTGGGGGGCTGCCTCCACAGGGCGCAGGCTCCCTGCACTGGGGTGGATATGGTAAGGAGATGGGACTCCTGCTTTTTGGGGATGTGCTGAGTTTATGGGACTGTCAGCACCTGTTTTCTGCCAGACTGAGATTCGGGTGAGCAGGGGCCATGCTGTTTTGATCTTTGTCTTCTGTGCCCAGGGACTGGGAGTGAATGAGTAGAGTATCACTACAGTATGACTGTAGTGTCACACGTCTGGAATCCCAGTGACTTGGGAGRCTGAGGCAAGAGGATCTCAAGTTCAAGCCCAGCCTGAGCAACTTAGTGAGACCCTGGCTCAAAATAAGTCTTAAAAAAAAAAGGTGCAGCTCAGTGGTAGAGTGCCTCTGGGTTCAGTCCCCAGTACTGCAAAATGCCATGGAAAAGCCACGTGATCCAGTGTGAGGAGCACTGTGGCTGTAAAGTAAGGGTGGACACAGGGAAGAGAGCTGGAGCTGCCTGGGGCATGAAGGAGACCTGAGATGAGCGAGTCCCAAGTTTTGCAGACTGCAGCTGATGGTCAAGGTGAATCTGCAGATATCTGCTTTAGTAGGTGCAGGGAGTTAGGCTTCTAAAACAGGCAGATGGTGCAGGGATGCCCGGGAGATGCTTTCTGGAAAGCCTCATGGGAAGGGGGTGTTGGAGTTAGACCTGGGCCAGTGGAGATTGGCAGAAGGACACTCCAGGTGAGTCAGAGGGAAAGGCCCAGAGCCGGGGAACCTCCAAGTCCTATATGACAGTATTTGTGTGTGTGTGTGTGTGTGTGTGTGTGTGTCCGCGCGCGTGCGCCCGCACATGGGGCTGGGTGGGGATCACAAAGGTTGGCAGAGTCAGACCTTGAGAACAGGCTGAGGCACTGCTTCATCCAGTAGGTCTAGGCTTTTCAAACCTTCCACCAAGGCCCTGCCCTCAGAGGAGGGGACTTAACCTACCCAGAGCAGTCTGACATGATCTCTTCCTCTTCGTCTTAAAGGCCTAAGTATATACTTCGTAATTATAAACACTTATTTCAATGTAAACGTTCTTTTTGTCCTTAAATATTAGCTGTGCCACATTTGTCCTGTGGCTTTGAGTACCCCTTGGTACAAGCCCATGTGAAAGGCAAGACTGCAGGCGATACTTTAATAAAATTCTTTCTTGTGTGTGGTGCATGTATATTGTTTGTGCACATTTCCCTTTGTAAATAAGTTCTGGAAGGATCTCTCATGTAGATGTATTAAGTTATAGCAATTTCTCCCGGAGATGATTTCCTTGTCAGGGTGTTGATGTATCTAATTCAGTATCACTCGGGATTTTGAGAGTTATTTGGAAATTTTAATTTCCTAAGAGTATAAAGTTATCTGGGAAAATGGGCGTGTTTGTATGGCTGTGTTTGCAGTCCTCCGTGCACGTCTGCATGTAGGATTCTGTCTTTCGTCCCTATTCTTGTGTGGTGGGGGATTAGGTCAGGCTTAATAGGGAGGAAGCGGAAGATGCTGAGATTGTATCTACTGCTCTCCCCACTGGCTGCATTTTTTTTTAATCATCTGTGAGAGGTGACTCACCAGTCCTCTAAATTATCTGATAAATGATCCAAGGAAATGAATGAGCAAAAGTGTTAAACCACAGCTGAGCAAGGCATTAGCCAGAGGACGTGCACTGTGGGGAGGGTTTGGGTGCTAAGGGTTTGAAGCCCTTTGGCGTCTTGGACAAATCTAGGGCCTTGTGCTTAGGAGCCTGAATATGCGTACAGCTGGAGCAACCCCTGAGAATACTGCTGAAGAGTGCCCCATGTGCTTGGGTGGGTTTCTTTATGTCGTCRTTGGACCCTTTGCCTGGTGGTCTTCTGGTGTAGCTGTTTGACGTAACAAAGATCAGTGAGGGGGACAGTGCCGGTGCCTGAGCCCACGGCTGAGCGCCCGGACTTCAGAGCYCAGGACCCTCCCACCATCCTGACTGGGCTCAGGTGCTGCGGTGACTAATGCTTTTCAAGGTGACTTAGCGAATCCAAAAGTGGAAGGTGAAGTGGGAACGTCACCGTGAGTGAGCACCACGGAGCACAGGATGCCACGCCGATGTTAGGTGAGCACACTGAGGCCCAGGAGGTCAACTGGCCGAGGCAGAGAGGCTTACTGACCATGGCCAGGCGGCTAGTGAGGATGAGCGCTAGGGCTAGACGTGAGGTCTCSACGCCCCTGGATCTGACCTGTGGGCACGTGTTGTCATTGCTCAGTCTGGCACCGCCTGGGCTCTTCCAGGAACATGCTCACTCTTCACTCCTTCTGTGACCCTGAACAGTTCTTTTCTGTCTGAACCCTAGTTTTTTCGTCTTTTAAATGGGGATGTGCTACCTGGAGGCAGTTGTCACTGAAAGATTCTGTAGAAGTCCACGTGTCAGAATGAAAGCCCGACACAAGTGTGAGCAAGGACTGTCCATACCGTCTCTGGAACGCCTCCGAGTGGTGGGCTTRGGAGGTGCCGGAGCAGGCTGAAGCCCGGGAAGGCTTCCCAGGGGAGGATGCTTTTTGAGCTGACCCGGGTGCCCACTGTCCAGCCTGCTTATTCCCTCCTCAGGACCTCCACGTTCCCAATGAGGACCGCATCAAGCAGCTGCTGGGGCAGGATGCCTGGACCTCGCAGAAGAGTGAGCTGGCTGGCTTCTACCCCCGGCTCATGGCCAAGTCAGACACGGGCAAGATTGGTTTAATCAACCTGGGAAACACGTGCTACGTGAACAGCATCCTCCAGGCCTTGTTCATGGCGTCTGAGTAGGTGCTGCTTTTGAATTCCTTGTGTGCCCTTCTCCCCTTTGGGCTCTCTGGTGAAAGGTGGGGGTGAGCCTTGCTTTGCATTGTTGGTGTGACTCTCTGAGGTCTGTGGCCAGGGGGCCCCAGGCCRTTGTGGTGGCAGTAGGTGTTGAGCGTGGACAGGAACCACAGGTGGGCTGCAGCGGGAGGGGCTGCTCTGGGCTGGCTGGTACCACTGGCTCTTCTCCTAGAGTCCTGGGGGGGCAGTGTGTCTTTAGATTGGGACTCCCACTCACTCTCCTGCTTTTAATGAAACAAGCATAGTCTTAGTTGTCCGTGACCATTTTATGGGTTTCATGGATTGCTTAAAAATTAYTCCAAGTTTCAGCTTGGATTCAGCAAGAGGAAGCTTGGGTTCTGATATTACAGTGACCTCAGGTCAATTTTTTCTCTGAGCTTCAGGTTCAGTGGAAGGAAGCTAGAGCTGGTCTCTAAGGTTTCCTTAGGCACTGCTTATTGTTCTTCTCAAACTGCCTGGTGAAGGACTAGTTTTGTTGTTCTGATACCAAGACCATTGCTGTGTCCTGACCTCAGACACTCTAGGCCGAGTTGTTCACCATCTCCTCCCTGGCCTCTGGCCTCACCTGGTATGTGCAGACCATTATTTCTGTAAAATAATGATTTGCCAGATACGTGATCATGTGCTTCTATGATCATGGTCGTGTTAAAATGCTGCACAAGCTGGGTGTGGTGACACATGCTTCTAATACCAGCTGCTCAGGAGGCTGAGGCAGGAGAATCACAAGTTTGAGGCCAGCTTTGAACCTAGGGAGATCCTGCCTCAAAATTTAAAAAGGGCTGGGGACATAGCTCAGTGGAGGAACATGTGCCTAGCGTGTGTGAGATCCTGGGTTTGAGCCCCGGTCCTGCAACGCTTTGAGTCATGCTGCTCTGTGCAGTGTCTGGGTGGGACAACGTGACTGATCTGCCCAGAGATGCCTGTGAGAACCAAAGCCAAGCTGCACCTCAGAAGTTGGCTTGTTCCAGGGATCGAGGCTGTCGGGAGGTCTCCACCTGTTCTCCTAGGATCAGACCCCTGTCACTGAGAGCCAGTCTGCCCCTGTGGTGTCCTCTTCTTTCAGCACGTCCCTCACACTGACCCTCCCTCCTCCTTCATTTGAAGGCAGGAGAGTAACTCGGGATGGCAGGGCCTGGAGGAGTGGGTGGCAGGGCTGAAGTGGGGACGAGTCCTGTTCTGGACGGGTGTGGATGGCGTTTCCTGGAGGAAGTAACCAGCAGAGTGTCCGAGTGGCTGGGAGGATGGTGGCATGGACACTGGGGCACACTGGAGTCCCAACCTTGGAACACTGGAATGTTTGACTCCTGGAGTCGTGGGGTGTCAGAGCCGGAGGGGACTGCAGGGATGGGTGGCCTTGTTGTATCCTTTGTTGTCATACCAAGACCACTGCTGTGTCCTGACCTCAGACACTCTAGGCCAAGTTGTTCACCATCTCTTCCCCGGCCTCTGGCCTCACCTGGAGCTGGAACTGTCCATCCGGAGGCTCTGGGTTGTCCGCTGTGTGGTGAGTGGAGGCTCCAGGGCCCTCGGCTCACCTGGGTGCTCCTGCTTTGTTTTGAAGCTTTCGACACTGTGTGCTCCGCCTGACTGAGAACAACTCGCAGCCCTTGATGACCAAGCTGCAGTGGCTCTTTGCCTTCTTGGAGCACAGCCAGGTGTGCGCAGGGTCCTGGGGGGGGGGGCGGGGGGGGGAGGTGCAACCAGGCCCTGCAGTGCTGCCTTCCTGGCTCTGGGACCTGCCTACATCTGGCTGCATCTGGCTGTGAGCTCCCGCTGTGAGTACCTGAGCCCCTTTCAGTCTGGCCCAGGTTCATGGTCAAAGTCGCTGGGAAGGAGGTGTCTGCCTGGCAGGAGTGGCTCCTGGAGCCGCTTGCATTAAGGTGTGCTTCCTTCATCTACTGCCATTTGTGAGCACCTGTGTTGCCAGGTACCCTGAGGGCTGTTGAAAGTACTAAGTTAAACAGAGCAAATATTTTCTGCCCTCATGGAACCTAAATCCCATGGCCGGGGATTCTGCATGGCTCTGTGGGCACGGGGATGAGGAAGCCTCATCAGAGCTGTGGGCAGAGGGACCTGCAGGGGACAGTTGAAGGGAAGGGAAGGACAGGGAAGGGAAGTGTGGCGTGTGTGGGGAGGGAGAGGGGTTAATGATGGAGAAGATGGTGTTGGGAAGGTATCACAGACAAGGCCACACTGCACTGGGGTCTCATTTTGACAGGGGCGAGGGGTGTCTAGGCAGCACAGGAGGTGGGCATAGGACCAAGCAGGTGGGAGAGGGAAGAGCAGATCCCCAGAGGAGGGCTTATCTCCAATATCCTGTCCCCTGCTTGAGTCGCATGGATCTGTGGGCTGGGACAGGTGAGGGACAGCTAGGAAACAGAAGGACTTGAGAGGAGGCCGGGATGTTTGAAACGGAGTCCTGGGAGCCCTCAGGCCTAACGTGCAGCAGAAATGGTGGGCATGTGACTGGTGGCTTCTGGCTTCACTTTCCCCTTCCTTGTCCTAGAGGCCGGCGATTTCCCCTGAGAACTTCCTCTCTGCGTCCTGGACACCCTGGTTCAGCCCTGGCACCCAGCAGGACTGTTCGGAGTACCTAAAGTATCTGCTGGATCGGTAAGGTTCCGGGTGGGTCCAGAGAGGGTTGTGGGGGAGACTCCTCCCCTCCCAGCTGGGTGGCATCTTCCTGGATAGGGAGCCGGCTTCCACTTGTGGCAGGCAAGGAAGGTGTGCACCAAGGGCGTGGGCCAGGCCTCAGTGTTGGAAGTCTGGAGAAGCTGCACTGCATGGTGGTTTCCGAGGGTTGGGGTGTGTGTGTGTGCATGTTGTGCTGTGCTGGCCTGAGTGCGCCAGTCCTTACCACTGCTGGGGTGACCTAGGTCGGGCACGTCTTTCCGTGGTGTCTGTGTGCCTGCATGCAGGTGAGTCTGTGTTGTGTGCTGGCCCTGTGCCCGTGCACAGGTATGTTAGCGTGCCATTTTGTAAGCATGTATCCCCTGGACAGACTCCTGCATTTGTCCATCAATCCTGTGGTCGTGGGCAGGGTGGCTGGGCGGGAGGGCGGGTGCACTGCAGGTGTACAGATGCAGACCCTGTGCTGTCGCCTGCCCCAGGCTGCACGAAGAAGAGAAAACCGGGACCCGGATCTGCCAGAAGCTCAAGCAGTCCAGCTTGCCCTCCCCGCCCGAGGAGCCCCCTAGCCCCAGCTCAACCTCTGTGGAGAAAATGTTTGGAGGCAAGATTGTGACCCGGATATGCTGCCTCCACTGCCTCAACGTCTCCTCCCGGGAGGAGGCCTTCACRGACCTCTCTCTTGCCTTCCCTCCTCCCGAGCGCTGTCGCCGGCKCCGCCTGGGCTCGGTGATGCTCCCTGCAGAAGATGTCGGAGCCCCGGTTCCCAGCAGGGCGGGTCCCCGGAGGCAAAGGAAACACTGCATCACTGGGGACGCACCTCCCGCCGTGCTGGACATCGGAGGCCTGGGCTCCCCGGGAGCTGGTGGGCAGAGTGGCCGGGAGGAGAAGGCGGAGAGGGAGGAGGAAGGGAAGGAGGGCAAAGAGGAAGAAGGAGGAAAGGAAGAGGAGGAGGGGGGGACGCTGGAGAAGGAGGAAGGGGAGAAAGAGAAGGAAGAGGAGGAGAAGGGACGAGAAGAGGAGAAGGAGGAGGAGAAGGAGAAGGAGGCCGATCCCGAGGAGAAGGAGGAGGACAACTTGGGACCCGGGAGCCACAGGGATCCCGCCCCCGCCCGGGAGCCCACGTGCGGCCCCGAGGGCTCCCGCTCTGTCCTGGACCTCGTCAACTATTTCCTGTCCCCCGAGAGGCTGACCGCAGAGAACCGCTACTACTGCGAGTCGTGCGCCTCCCTGCAGGACGCCGAGAAGGTGGTGGAGCTGAGCCAGGGCCCGCGCTACCTCGTGCTGACGCTGCTGCGCTTCTCCTTCGACCTGCGCACCATGCGGCGCCGCAAGATCCTGGACGACGTCACCATTCCCCTCCTGCTCCGCCTGCCGCTGGCTGGTGGCCAGGGCCAGGCCTATGACCTGTGCAGTGTTGTGGTGCACTCCGGGGTGTCCTCAGAGAGTGGCCACTACTACTGCTACGCCCGGGAGGGCGCTGCCCGCCCGGCCCCGCCTCTGGGAACTGCTGACAGGCCGGAGCCTGAGAACCAGTGGTACCTGTTCAATGACACGCGGGTGTCCTTCTCCTCCTTCGAGTCTGTCAGCAACGTCACCTCCTTCTTCCCCAAGGACACAGCCTATGTGCTCTTTTACCGCCAGCGGCCTGGGGAGGTGCCTGAGGCTGAACCGGGCTCTCCCAGAGCCCGAGCAGAGCCCACCCTCCACAAGGACTTGATGGAAGCTATTTCCAAAGACAACATCCTCTACCTGCAGGTGAGCAGACCCAGGTCTCTGCTGTGACCTGGGTGGCGGGGTCCAGTCTCAGTACAGCCCCCAGCTTGGATCAGTCCTTGGTTATCTCTTTGAGTTGCTTCCTTTTCTCTATTTTTTGTGGCTCTGGGGATCGAGCCCAGGGCCTCACACATACTGTGAAAGAGTCCTGCCACTGCGCTGCACTCAGCTGCTTCCTTCTTAAAACCCATTCACTGTCTATCACTCAGGACCAGGAACATCAGTGGCCCTGACAGATCCCTTCCTTCAGWGAAGCAGATGTTAAATAATTGATTTTGCAGTTGTTAGGGCGCTGAAAGAGCTGCCTGGTAGTAGAGTCAGTGGGCAGGGAATGCCACTGGGAGCTTTTGGAGGGGCCACCTACCTGTGACCCCCATATATAACATTTTCTGATTTTCTTCAGAGTGGAGAGTAGCATCAATATTCAGCAACAGGGACAGCAAGGGCTTTGACTGATGGGACAGGCACTAGCCATGATGGCCTTCAGATCCTGCATCTAGAGTTGGTGTTTTGTGGGAGACTCTGGGGGGAGACAGTGCGGTAGTGAGGGATCTGTGGGGCTGATCTCATTTTGGCAGGAGGAGGAACTTGCTTATGGGCAGACACTGCTCATGCCTTGAGAGGTAATCATTTGGACCCCTGTGGTCAGGAAGCCTGTGGACAAGTTCCCAAGTGGTGTGACATGACAGGTCCCTGGACTTTCTGCTTCCACCTCAGGCCATTGTCAGCTAGTTAGTCTAGTATAATGAGTTCCTTCTTTCAAGGGACTGGAATTTTTACTGAGAGGAGGTGGTGGGGGAGGGGAGGATTCTGAAGCCTAGATCTAGGGTAGATCTACGGTAGAAGGGTCTGCCTCATCTATCGTGCCCCAAGACAGAAGCTGTGCTTCCTCTGTGGCCTGGCCCTGGAGACCCAGAAGGGACACTCCGGTGTGCTGAGCTGGGTGGCACTGGGAGGGGAGTAAAGGAGGATCTGGCAGTAGGGGTCTGATTTTTAAGTGATTCCCTCACCCTCACCTGTGTTCTCAGGAGCAGGAGAAGGAGGCCCGCAGCAGGGCGGCCTACATCTCGGCCCTCCCTGCCTCTCCGCACTGGGGCAGGGGCTTTGATGAAGACAAGGATGAGGATGAAGGCTCTCCAGGGGGCTGCAACCCTGCAGGTGGCAATGGAGGTGACTTCCACAGACTGGTCTTCTGAAGTGAAACTTTCCCCAGCCTGCTCCTTCGTGCGGGGGCACCACAGCCAACCTCAGGGGGCCTCGAGCCCCTCCTTCTGGGAGCCAGGTGGGGTCTGAGGGTGGTTGAAGCCCGGGGCTGAAGTGGGCCCTTCCCAGGGCAGGAAGGATGGAGAGGGAGCTTCTAGGATGTTGGCCCTGAGCTGAAGGGTACGAGAAACCCAAATATGGAGGGGATCCCTGACCCCCTTAAACCGGGCCCTCAGACCCTGGTACTGGGATCAGTTCCATTAAGATTTTACACCCAAGTGTCCTGGTTCACTTGGAGCAGCTTGGATGGACGCACGCTGGGCTTTGCCTCCCCCACTTCCCTGCAGGCCCCATCCTAGAGACCCTGAGCTGGCCCTGGAGCCAGGGCCGAGCTTCTGCTCAAGCGTCCTGCCTTCCAGTAGCACTTAGCACTTCTCTTCCAGCTCTTGCTCAATAAGATAAAAAGCACAGTGGCATCCAAGCCCTTGCACCAAGAAAGGGGCTGCTTGTTGCCTCTGGCTGCCTGCCTTGTTTCTCTAAGGGGTTTCAGAGGCGAGGCTTGGGGTGCCTTTGGGGGACACCTGCACTGACTGTACTTTTTTGAGGAGAGTAGATGGCAAAGCAGCATGGCACAGGATCAGAAGGATCTCCCTGGCCTCACTCCTTTAGCTGTCCCCCTATACAGCACTAAAGGAGAGGAGAGACCCTCCCCCAGTGTCCCCCAGCCTGCCTCAGTGCCTGTGATGCCACCATTTGTATCTCCCTCCTGGTTAAGGCTGAGAATTCTTATTTTATTGCAAAGATGTTTTCTTGTCAGGAAGCCATCAACAGTTCCGAGGAAGCTGGCTGGCTCGGCTCCTCGGATCAGCGGGCCACGTGAGGGCTGGGCGGGGGGCACTGTGAAGCAGACAGGCCTCACTGTGCCCTGATGCTGCTCTAGCCCCTTCTAAATGGAGACAAATGATTCATGTTCTCAAACAGGAATAAAACTAGGTTCTCTGAAGCCTGTGAAAGATGTTGTTCTTCCCGTCTCAGGAACCTTGCCGTGACGTCTGCTGTGCCCTTGGTTTTCTCACTGTGCCCAGGTAGTGACTTGGGCTCCTGGTTGGTAAGGTGAAGCTCTGCCCCTGCCCCTGGTGACTTGTGGGACGCGGCATGGAGGTGAAAGCCCTCAGTGCAGAAATGCCACCACTGGGAGAACCCAGAGGGCAGAGCTGGGATTAGGTACAAGAACAGAACAAGATGAGGTGCTTGGGTTCAATCTCTCCCAGTTCCACAAAAAAAAAAAAAAAAAATTGAGGTGCTGTTAGAAGGAAGGGTCACTGGTTGGAGGTGCCCAGTGGGATGCTATTTGGGGGACTCACTTATCAGGTGGGCCTGGAACCCCAACGTCTGGAGACTTTACAGACCCCTAGAACTCTGGGTTGCCCAGAAACATCTATTGCCGATATTAGATTCCTTTCCTCTGAGAAGCTGAACTAACAAAAGGCAGCTCCCTCCAGGGCTCATCCTTTCCTTGGAGCTGGAGAGGGACATAGGAATGGCTGTGTGTACAGGGCCACTTTCCACCAATCCTGCGTGTCTCCTTTAGGAGAAGAAAGATGCTGGAAAGGCAGGGACAGAGGTGGTGCAGGGGTGTGACCGGGGGTTTCAAGGACTGCTGGTAGAGTTGTTTGTGGTCCAAATGTCAGACTCTGGACATGAGAGACCTGTGTAAGCAGGTCAGAAGAGACACAATAATGGGGGACTTCCAGGAAAGGTGAATTGGCAGATGCCTCTTTACCCTGAGGTACAGAGGATTCATTCTTGCCCCCTAGCCAAGAAAAGTCCCTAATGAGAGGCTGGGGTTGTAGCTCAGTGGTAGAGCACTTGCCTCGCAGGTGTGAGACCCTGGGTTCAATCCTCAGCACCACATAAAAATAAAAGACATATATATATATAAAGTCCCTAATTATTCCCAATGAAAATGGAGCAGCCCAGCACAGGCCTTCCTGGGATCATTCAAGAAATGACTGGGATGATTCTGAAACACTTTTTCCGCTTCGGTACTTGGATTGCACCTAGGGGTGTTCTACCATTCAGCTACATCTTTTGAGTCAGGGTCTTGCTAAGTTGCTGAGGCTGGCCTCAAACTTGCAATCCTCTGCTTCAGTTTCCTGCGTTGCTAGGATTACAGGTGTGCACCATTGCACGTGGCTGAAACTCTTGGGGAAGGTGTGTTCATGCCTAGGTAGGGCAGCTATGTGTCTACCACTCGCCTCAAGCTGGCATTTGAGTACTGCTCCCCTCCCCAACCCCTCAGACAAGCAGTCCTCTCTGGGTTGCATTTCTAAAGGACTTTATTGTTGTCCTGCTCCAATACCACAGTAAAAAGGGACCTGCAAGCTCCAGGCCTGTACCATGTGTCACCACAGCAAAAACACAGCCCAATTGAACATGTTTCCCACCCCACCCCCAGACCTGCTCACAAGATAAATACGTGTTACAAATTTTTTAAAAAAACAGAATAAATTAATAACTTAAGTGATTAGGCACCAACAGTGATTTGAAAATTAAATGTCAATTTTAAATGGTAACAAGACAAGAAGACTGGGCTGCCTCGGGCCCAGTTTTTCTTCCTAACAAATAGTGACAATTCTGTGCGAAATGATTCTAAGTTTCAAGACACAAGTAGCCAACAAATTACACAAGAACACACATCACCAGATATCATACGACAGCATGACCCTCTACAGTCCCTTCTACAGGTAGTTTGCTGGTCCCAGGCCCCAAAGAACTTAGCAAGTCCCCAGAAGATGGCCCATGAGGACGCCTCAGTCCCCAGCACTTTTGAGAAGGGAAGGAAGAGCTGCCTTCCAAAGTCCCGCATTCCTCCAGAGCCCTGTCAAAGGGGTGGGGGGAGGGGACACAGTTTGGGGCTGAGGCCAGAGCTTGGTGGCAGGTAAAGGGGACAAAGGCAGAACAGAACTGAGCCTGAAAACTTGAGAATGGTTGTGCTTCTGTTCTAAGAATGGGGCTTATTTTAATGATTTGAAATGTAGAAGTCACCAAAATCAAGCTAGGGAGGGGACTGAGTGAGCTGGCTAATGCTCTGGGTGCCGACCCAGGCCCTTGAGAGAGAGGCTGCTGAGCAGAGCGCGCCCCTCAAAGCCTCTTCCACAGCCCAGCTGCTTCGGGACCATCTGACCAATCAGCCCTTCTCACAGATGGTCCCAAGGAGCTACCACCTCCCTCTTTGTTCCCACTCAACTTTTCTTTAACCTTGTAGTTATGAAGCTGGAAGTGGGTGAAGAAAGCTCCTTTGGAGAGCCCTAGCTGTTAGAGGAGAGGTATCCCCATTCTGGGGTCTCACCAGGAGGTGAACTTTGACCCTGGGTAGGCCAAAGGACCAGTTTTCTTAAACTGAGTTGACTTCCTCTTTTGGGGGGTGCGAAATGGGTATGTGTTAGATGTGGCTGGTTGTTTGGGGCTTGTGAGACAGAGCTCTGCTCTCCACAGGCTCATCTCCTCTAGTCCTTTCTTCTTTATCCGTCCTTCCACCCTGAGGGCTTGGGTGGTCACAGGAACAGAGAAGCTGGAAGCCCTCTGTAAGACTAACTAGCCCCGAACACTGAAGTCTCTGAAGACTCCAACAAGTTCCGCCCATATCACGGCACATTCAGAACATAATTAATAATTTTATGGCACCCTGGGATCAGTGGTGGGGGCCACCAGTTAAAACCCCAGCCATATGGGACCCCTGTAGAGAGCCTTAAAGGGACAGTCAGTGTGCAGAGTGAACCAGCACCCTGCAAACCCTGCCTGGTGTAGCTACAGCCACCATGGGACGTTGAGACATGGCCTCTGCACTTCTGAGGTCTGTACTCGCCCTCCAAGTTCTTTTGCTCTCAAAGCGTAAGTTTTTCCAAATCTCTCCTTCCTGCTCCCTTCATTTTTTCCTCTTAAACTCCTCAGACTCATCTTCCTAGAGTCACCTTCCATGGCTGCATCCGCTCCCCACTCTGGCCTTGGCCCCTTGAGAAGTGGTGTTCATTTCCTTAGCACTTCATGAGTATTTGCATCTGTCTTGTGTCCTTGTCCTTTCTCATTGATTGTGACCTTCTCAAGTTCAGGGACCCAAATTATCCTTGAGTTGCCTTCAACTAACACCAGGAGAACAGCTACTGTTGAGGAAAAGACAGCTCCCAGGTTGGGACTTCCTAGAGAAGGGCCAGGCCATTGGTCTGATGAGGTGTGTGTGCTCTTAGGAGCTAAGGGGTGAGTGGTTCCACCTGCATCAAGCATGGTGGGAAGTCATACTTTTGGAGGAGTAAGGTCTGTTTACCCTGGGGCAAAATGAAGTGTCTGGTCTGTCCTGTTGCCTCTAAAACWTGAAAATTTGGTCAGTAACTTTCAACATAAGAAATTTAGATTCTTCCCTACTTAACCCACCATCCTTGGTCCTAGGAATGCCCTTGTTCAAGGGATCACTTCTTCACTTTCTAGTCCATCCTGAACCCCCACTTGCTGCCCTGGGCTCTTCACCGGGCCCTGGGGATGCGTTTCCTCACTTGCTGCATGGCCTACACCTGCCTCCCTTCATCAGGTTACCTCTGCGCCCTCCCAGTTCCCAGAAACTCACTTGCTGCACCATCCCCTCTGCAGTGTCCCTGCACTGCCCCATGCCTGGTACATCCTTGCCCCAGGGTTCCCCTCAAACCCTGCATCACCTCCACTGCATCCCCTCCCTTACCCCCTCACCATGCTGGTTGCCCTGCTCAGCCCAGGCCTTCTCCTGCAGAGTGCTCAGGAAGGACTGCTCTCTGTCCCAGAGTGGCCCTGCAACACCAGAGTTCCAGGGCCCTGACTGTCCCGTGTCCTTGCCATGCTAAGCCCTGTTCTTGGTGTTCCTGGTTGTCCATCATTACCAGTTTCCCCTTCCTTTTGTCTCTTAGCCTTCTGTGTCCCCCATTCTCAAGCAGTAGGTCTATGTGGCTTTGGCTTGAAACTGGGGACCCTGGTAGGTATCAACTGCCCTTATTTCTGGGGATCCAGTTCCTTTGTCCTCAAGATTACCTCTGACCTTTGTCTCAACTAATTTAATCTTTTGGCAGCCTTGCCTCTCGCCAGTTGAGAAAAACAGGAATAAGAAAGTCCACGTCCACTTTGGTCTGCTGGTCCTTGGCTCCCTGGGTTGTCCTCTTCTGGGACTGAAGAGAGGTAGCCCAGAGGACAATGAAAGGGGGTGGAGGGCTGTGACTGACAGGAGGTGTTAAGTCTGGCTCAGAGTCCCAGCCCTCCCTCCAAGCATTCAGTAGACAGGTCTCCAGGCCAGAAAGAAGTTTTTTTGGCAACAGCTCCTAACTAAGGTGGGTGGAGGCACAGCCAGTATTGATAAAAGTCACAGGTGGACCCCAAGTGGGCAGAGAAAGTGCCCCCATCAGGGCCTCACCTCCCAGGGGAAGGGTCAGGGTCCCTGATGTCAAGTGTTTTGAAGGCCAAGAGTGGCAGAGTGGAGGGGCAGGGAGGGAGCTGGGAGAGGAGGGAGACGGGAGGAGCCAGCTCTGGGCGTCTGCCTCCCGGGCCCTCTCTGGGCTTGGTGGACCCCACATCACAGCTTGGCGCCCTTGGAAGGCTCCGAGGACTGCCGCACATCTGTCCACTCCTGCATGGTGTTCTGCAGAGCTTGGGTCTTTTCCTTATCCACCTGGACATAGTCCACCTTCTCGTCTGATGTAACAGATGACGTGGATGGCTGAGGGAACAAAGTAGGAGTGACTGTGAGTCACCAGTAAGGTGGGGTCTTCCCAAGCAGGGTCAAGGGGAGGGGAGGAGAGATGGCCTTTGCTGCTACTTTGACCAGACTCAAGAACCTGCCATCTTTCTCAGTGTGGGCTTTATACTTCAGGTCCTTGTGGACTGACTTCCTGTCAGACACAACAACCTTGCCAGCCCTTCCTTCCCACTAAGGCTCAGGAGGACCCAGGCCTTCTCTTGGAATTGGTAGAAGGGTTTAGGTCTTCATCCTCCCCTCCACTTCCCTCTGGCCACTCTTCCAAGGGGAGTGTGCTGAGTGTCAGTAAGCCCCAGCTCTAGGGCTTTAGGTGTGTCCCCTTGATGATCCCTCACAAGGGCCTGTGAGGGATCCTGCACTGAGGTGGACCCCCCACCCCCCACTGTGTAGACAGGGTGGCTGGGTGCTTCTGGGAAGGTTTTCCTAGGCCTGGAGGTCCTTTCCAAAGACTGCTTTATCACTGGTAGGGTTCTGGGCCCCACCCAATGAATTCACAAAGAAGAGCTCAGGACAGGAGGCAGGATCTCTGTGTCTCCAATCTGTTACTGATTCACTCTGTAACCTTGAAAAACTCGGGTCTGTGTGTACTATCATGTACCCATGTCTGCTGCAAAGGGATTGGCTGACTGATGTTCTGTGCTCAGAGGGGATCTGTGCCCTGAGAAAGCACAGGAGCCTCAGAGACCCCCACCTAAAGCACAGCTGAGTCCTACGAGCTGGCTACGGAGAGAGGCTGAGCAGTGCTGGCCTCCCTGCCCTCTCCCTGAGGCTCTGGCAGCTCTCACTGATCCCCCACCTCCACCCCAGGCACCTTGCGGTGGGGGCTTGGGGAGCCCGGCTGGAAGTCCAGGGCCAGGTAATCGACGCTGCCAGTACTCTTCTTCGGGGCTGGACTGTTGGTGCCACTGGGAACTGGAGATGCAGACACTGGGTTTTGCTAACATAGGAAAGACAAAACTGAGTGAGTCTAGGAAATCGATGAACCCCCTACTCAGGAAAACACAGCTCGGTGGGTAAGGTACTCATTCAGTGTCCTGTTGGAGCCACACACTGTGCCAGGGACTTTATACTTTCTTCTCTAAGTCCTCACAACAATCCTGTGAGGTAGATATTATCGCTGTTCATCATGGTTGTGAGGCTGCGGTGTGACGGAACCTGGGCTGTTGTCTGACTTCCAAACCTGCACCTATCCCAGGTACCATGTGGCCTCCCTCTTAGGGCTTCAAGCCAGATCTCACCTACTGTCTTCTGAGACCCAGCCTTTGCTTGTGGGACCCTAAGAACAAGCCTGTTTCTTCTTGTAGCCCCCCTCTATACTGCCTGCCCATGGCCTAGAGCAGCAGGTCCCGAGGCAGCGGCCCCCCAACTGCTCCGACTGAACAGTAGCCTCGTCTCCAGGTGCACAAAGCCTCTGTTCCTTCTTGGTTCTCCAGGTAACAGGCTCTTGGGGCCTATGTCCAGCCAGGCTACTGCTGTGGGAAAGCACCTGCATGTCTAGGACTGCCCCCAAGTCTGATTCTAATGAGAAAGGTGACGGTCGTGGGTTCTGGTTATATAATGGTTAGTTGAAGTTTCCTTTTAAGGATGACCAGGTGCTGGGAGGCAATTCTCTTCCAATGAAAACTTCAGGGAGGGTTTTGAACAACCAATAAAAAAAAAAAAAAAAAAAAAACTTCAGGGAGGAACCACATCGTGCACTACCCGTGTTCACACCTATTACAGCTGTCAGCCCAGTGAGTGTGTGCAGGTATGTCTTCCTAACACTGAGCGGATACCTCTGGTGCTGCTCTTCCAAGAGCACTAATCATGCCCCCTGTGTCAGGGGAGAGAGGCAGGCTGCCTCTACCCTTTAAGACTGACCTACTTTGGGTAGGTCCCATGTCTTTCCGACCGCTGACAACTCATGCTGCTTCCTGCACATGTGCTCAAGAAGGGTCTGCAGCCGAAGGCCACAATAGTACAGAGAGGCCCTGGGCTGAGATGAGAAGTAGTGAACTGAGCAGAAGGTCCTGGAGGATTCCAGAAGGTATCATCCAGCCAACCCCAGGGGACTCACCATAGGGACGTAGTTCTCTTCACTGTCTCCTGAGTCTGTGCTGGTGATGCTCTGGGTGGAGATGGGACGGCAGTACTGGGAGGAGCTAGAGTTGAAGGTATGGCTGTTGTGGGAAGAAGACAGAGTGAGCCTGGAAGACCCTTGGCTCTCTCACACCCAGACCTGGGTCACCACAGTTTCCCATTATCAGCTTGGTAATGATATAATAATATTCCCCCTTTACAGATGAGGACCAAGTGCCATGATGAACTGGTGACAGCAGTAGGACCTGGTTACCCTGAACCCCCAGGCCAGAGACCACTCTATTCATATTGAATGCCCACACCCTAAGATCTCGCTCCACAGACACTCACTTGGCCCTGGACCAAGACTTGGTGACAGGAGACTTGAAGGGGAGCTCATCAATGACAGCATTGTTTCTCAGGTCAAGTGGTGTTGGTTTTGCTGGAGCAGAAACAGAACACAGGAGTCAGCCACATGGGATACACTTATATGTAACATGTAAGCACAGTTACAAAAGCCTTCCCAGTCATTCTGGCAACAGAGGGAATCTGAGGCTCCGGAGGGTTAGACAGGCCTCCTTTGGCATCTGTAAAGGATCCCTCTGGATATAAAAATCTGAATGCTCAAGTCCCTTATGTAAAATGTCAGAACCAGGTGTGGTGGCATATGCCTGCAATCCTAGTTAATTTCCAGGCTGAGGCAAGAGGGTCACAAGTTTGAGGACAGCCTTGGCAATTCAATGAAGCTTTGTCTCAAAATTAAAAAAAGGGGCTGGAGATGTGGCTCAGTGGTAGAGTATTTGCCTAGTTTGTGCAAGGCCCTGGGTTCAATCCCCAGTACAACAAAAGTCATAGTATTTGCTTATAACCTATGTGCCCTTCTTGCTATATACTTTACATCATCTCTAGATTATTTGATTAATATGATGTTAATGGAACAATGACAAGAAAGATATGCACAATGTACAGGTTTTTTTTTCAAGTATTTTTGATCTGTAGTGATTGAATCTGCAGATATAGAACCTGCAGATACCGAGGTCTGACAGTATAATCTTTTTCCATGTTGAAATCATATCTTTAGATTCCAAATTATATATCCTTCCTGCTGTATCTATGGTGATTGAATTTGCAGAATCCAAAATGGGACACATGGTCTGACAACAGATTTGTGACTTTATATAAAAACAAGAGACTATATTTGAAATGAAGATGGCCACCATGACTACTCCTGCTGATATTGAAGAAGGCTGTGTAAACCACAGTGGAGGAAGGGAAAAGCCAAAAGGACCTGGGTTTCAGTTCTACAGGGCCCTATCTCTGCCAGGTTATCATGCAGGAGCCAAGGACAAAAGATTGGCAGTGGGTGACCTGGAACTTGAACTCTAGCACCTCTTTCTGGCTGTCAGGCAGCATCGTAGATCTAACTACTACCCATTTTCCAGGGATCTGATGCACTGACATGTTATCCTTCCAAATAAATGTGGGAGGTAGGAATCAGCATCCCTATTTCACAGTAAGAAAACTGAGGCTCAAGAGGTTACACGATTTGTACAAAATCATGTACTCCTAGTCCAGTATCCACCCTGTCATGGTTCCCTGAAGTCTCACCATGAAAGCATTGTCCCCAGTGCAGCAAGGTTCACAGATGGGGCTTTTAGGCAATGACTGGGTCATGAGGGCTCTGAGCACATCTGTCAAATGGATTAATCTACTGGTAGATGAATGGCTTACTGGGAAGTGGAACCTGCTGGTCRTATGTCCTGGAAGAGTTTATCTCCTCCCTGGCTCCTTCCTCTCTTTGACTCTTTTTTCCAGCTGCCATGAGCTGAGCAGCTCTCCTTTGCCACACTGTTCCCCCATGATAATCGGCCTCACCTCAGGCCTAGAACAATGGAGTTGGCTRACAATGGACTGAAACCAGGATCCAAAATAAATCTTTCCTTCTCTAAACTGTCCTTGTCAAGTATGTTGATCACAGTGACAAAAAACTAACACATTCCTGAGCAAATGCAAATAGTCCCTAGATGTTCAGAGAATGGGGCAGGGGAAAGTGGGCTTACCTTTCCGGTCAGGCTTGAGGTTACGGTTGACAGGAGGGGGCTGAATCTCACTTCCTCGGCTGGGGCCTCTGTGCATAGGGAGGGCTGTGGATGGGTAGCCAAGGGGGTCAAATGGATGGGGCCCTGGGCTCATGGGGATGTAGACACTTTGGGAATTATCACCTGCCCGCTCCATGGCCAGCAGGGTAGAAGAACCTGGGTTCATGGGCACATAGTTATCTTCTGAACTGGCACTATCCGACCGACCCACGAGTGTTTTTCCTGGCTATAGAGAGGAAGAGGGAAAGAAACAGATCTGTCATTAGCATGAAGAAGCACAAGGTGAGAATCTTTGCACAAGGCCAGCCCTCCCAGTGGTTTGTTATACTTTGAGGCTACAAGGGAGATCTTAGAAAGACCTAATAAAAACAGCATGGGAAACAGAAGAAATGGGGTCCAATGAGCCCCCTTCTAGCTTGGGACCCACCTACAATTTATGATCAATTTAAAGCATAAAATATTCTTGATGGCTGGGTACACTCAAGATTTCTGGATGCCTGGCCAAGGCAGAGGGCACTACGGGCTGTGAAGTGCATAGGTTTGGTTCAGGACCACCAGGTGGTGATGGGGTGGCATTGGCCTCTAGATCCTGATTGTGACAAGAACATGTAAGGAGTCTTGGCCCTGGGAGCTGAGGTCTGGGGCCAGCTGTGCTCCCATGCAGCTTGCAGTAGGGGAAGCACAGCTTACCCCAGATACCTAAGTAACATCCAGGATCAAGCAGAGCTGCCTCACCCCTGCACAGTGCAGTAGCCTGGGCTGCAGCCATTCTCCAACTTCTGCATGGTCCGCCTTGTCACATACCCGAGCTACCATGGCCTTGGTTACCTAACTTCCACTGTCTTTCCACTGGCTCAAAATCAGGCCCAGGTGTACTTACCTGCACCTTGGACAATGGTGATCTGTCCCTTCTAGAGGGCATCCTGGGATCCTGTGTTCAAGCTGCAATTTTTCTGGCTGGCCTGACCCTGAGTACCAGTCCTGCTCAGAGTCTTACTTTTCAGGGTCTGTCTTCCATGTGAGAACTGGTGGCTAAGGTTGCTGTGCAGAAGATCCACTACCCCTGAACCTGGGTCTGCTGCATTTCTAGACCCCCTCCACTGACCCACAGGGCTTTGAGACTCATAATCCAGCCTACCTGAGGACTCACACTCCCTTCAAACAAGGGTACCTGTGTTTTACTTGTCTAAAAGCTCAACCTAGGGTTCTGAACCGAGGCAAGAACCCAGGCAGGGTCCTACGAAGGAGATACCACCACTCTTTTGGAGCTGTGCTTGTGGTACCTTGCCATGTGACCTTTTCCTCACCCTAGCTGGCGGGAGGAACCCTGGTCAAACCCCACTCACCAGGAAAGGACTGACTCCCTCACTCATGGACTCAGCAGACCGGCCTGCATTCTCTCCACCACGTGGGGGGTACTCGTAGGTCTCACAGGAGGAAGCTGTGACAGAAGGAAGATCATATGTACTCTTGCTGACCCATGTGCTGACTCTTCCCCATCCCCTCCAGTGTGGCTCAGTTTCCTGATACTTCTGAAGGTACAGCTCTCAGCCCAGTGTTATCTTGTTATTTTGGGTTCTTTTTAGATATACATGAGGGCAGAGTGCATTTTGACATTATACATACATGGAGTGCGACTTATTCTAATTAGGATCCCATTCTTGTGGTTGTACATGATRAGTTTCACTGGTCGTGTATTCATATATGAACATAGGAAAGTTATGTCCGATTCATTCTACTGTCTTTCCCATCCCATTCTCCCTCCCTTCCCTTTATTCCCCTTGGTCTAATCCACTGAACTTCTACTCCCCACCGTATTGTGTGACAGCATCTGTATATCAGAGAGAACATTCAACTTTTGGATTTTTGGATTTGGGGGACTGGCTCATTGTACTTGCATTATAGACTCCAGATCCATCTGTTTACTGGCAAAAGTCATAGGCACTTTCTTTTTTTATGGCTGAGTAATATTCCATTGTGTATATATACCACATTTACTTTATCTGTTCATCTGTTGAAGGGCACTTAGGTTGGTTCCATAGCCTAGCCATTGTGAATTAAGCTGCTATAACCATTGATGTGGCTGCATCACTGTAAGGTCTTAAAAATCAGTATATTAAGGGGTTACTTAAACACTGTGTTCCTCCCAGGCCCTGGGATCTAGTTCCAGTGTTGGCATCTGTGAAGAGTCCTCCTTGACTTCTTAACCTCACCTCTCCTTAGCCTCCCCTAGCACTTACCACCTGTCCTACTCACCCCAGATACCACCTCTTTGAATAGTATGTAACAATTCTTGCACTAATTTATACATTCCCCCCCCCCCCAGCCAGATGTGAGCTCTCAAGGGCAGAGACATGTTTTATCTCTTAACTCAGTTCCAAGTACAGGGTGACTACTCAAATTTTTGATTGATGGAATGACTGCAAAGAGTTCTAAAGAAACCAGGACCCCCGGGGTCAGAGGCTTATCTCTGCCCTTGATGACGCTGCAACTCTGAGTAAGTCTCTTAACTACTACTGGCCTTGTGTGCAAGGAGACAATGAAGCTCTGTCCTACCAAACTCTGCATGGCCTAAAATGACAGGGTGGACAAGAAAAGGCTTTGCAAGCTATAAAGCAAGATACAAACTGAGAGGAATCAATGTTGTTCTTTTTGTTGTTGTTGTTGTTGTTAATCAGAAAAAGTTATATGTAGAGTTGGAATACACTCAGTAAACAAATGACAATAGAATTGAGGTACTTCAAATAGAAGTTCAGACTTCAACCAAAGAGTTTCTAGTTGTAGCTTACAAAATAGTCTGACTCATTTTGTTTTATCAGTCTGTTAGTCCTCATACGTTTGGCTCAAAGCTTGGGCTGGTTTTCTAAACTTATTTTTAAAAATCTTTGGTTTGACTTTTAAGTGACTAAAATACTATGATGTGGATTTCCAAACCCATAATATGTTGTATTGTGGTTGACCAAGAATATCTTGTATCCCTTAGCAGAACACTGACTTCTCAGAGGCAGGATTTGCAACACTTTTCTCACTCATACTCATAGCTGCAAGATCAACTGGTAAGGGGATAGGCTAGAAGATGCCTGAACTTGTGAATATTGGTGACCTGGGTGATCCTCAAGTTACTTGTTTGTGGAGGACTAAGGGCTAGCAAAGTTCGAGAACCCTTGAGCTACTTGCCTTTCCCTCTGGGTCTCAGCCAGGGTGTATACTGACCTCGATGGAGTCGGCTGTTGTCCATTGCAGGGAGGGTATTGCGCCTGGGGATGGTGGCAGCGACAGATCTGCTACTTTCACTGATTGGAGGCCTCTGCTGAGGGCTGCCCCATCGAGGTGTTTCTGCCTGACTTGGCTTGGGGGGCCGGGGTGGGGGAGCTATGGCTGAGTCTCCAGGAGCGGCCACTGCCATGGCATTGTGGTTCTTGTCCAATGTGAATGTCCTAGGGATCTGGTAGGCCGAGAGTGGAGTAGTTGGAACGTCCATATTGTCCACCAGGAGATCCCCAAACTCCCGGCACAGGGTGTTGCTGGGCATCTTGAAGGTGTACACATCTTCATTATCTGTCTCAGACCCTGTGAGGCTGCCCTTGGTGTGGCCATGGGAGGCCAGGCTCCGGGGAAGGTCATAGGTACTGTCTCTAAATTCTGTATTGTGCCGGCTTGGCTTGGGAAGGCTATAGAAGCCATGGACTTGACCACTGACCCCATTGACACAGTGTCCGTTGCCCTGGGCCAGTTTTTGTACGGCTGTGTCGCTCTTTTGCCTGGTGCCCTGAGAGAAGCTGGCACTCCTAAAGAGAAAGAAAGAAAGGGTCAGGGTTGAGAGGAGATCTGGGGAGGCAAGCTGGATGGCCCAAACCCCATGCAGCCAGCTGGAGTGGAACAAACAGGTGGAGGAGTCAGGCAGACCCAAGGTTTACCAAGGATCTACCATGTGCTAGCTGTGTGACCTTGAGCAAGGCACTTTCTTTTTGGAACTCCAATTTAGGCATCTGCAAAATGTTGATTTAAAACATACTTTGAAGGTTGTTTGCAATAGACTCCAGTATATATACTCCAGTATACAGATATTCAGTCAATGTTCCTTTATCCCTCCCCGTCTCCAAATGGCTGTCGTCAGCAGGGGTCAGTCTTAGGCTCACCACTGAAACAGGTATAACAAGTTAGTTACACTGACTACACAGAATACACACATTTGAATACAAAGGCTGTGAGATAATGGAAAGGATTGTTAAATTGGTGCACATCACTTAATCTGAGTMTGTTTTCTCCTCATAAAATAAGCCAGCTTATGTATATTGATGTAAGTTATGTATAAAGAACTTATTTAAGGGCTGGGGATATAGCTCAGTTGGTAGAGTGCTTGCCTTGCATGCATGGGCATCTCCAGCAACCCCCCCCCCCAAAAAAAAAAGAAATTCTAAAAAACTTATTTAAATGTAAGTAATACATTTTTTATGTATTATAGTTTGTTCTAGAAACTAAGAATATATAGGAAAAGTGATTTCTTGGGAACATTTAGGATATGAAAGCTGCTTCTTTATTAATTTTTTTTAGTTGTAGATGTACACAATGTTTTTATTTGTTTATTTATTTTTATGTGGTGCTGAGGATCAAACCCAGGGCCTTGCACCTGCAAAGTAAGTGCTCTACCACTGAGTGACAACCCCCCTAAAAAATTTCAGTTGAGGGAAATAAGGCAAGCAATAAAGTGAAGAGTGGTAAAAGAGGGCCATTTGCATCAAGTTCAGGTACTGTACTTATCTGCTCTCTGCTCTGTGAGTATCATCACATCCCTCCCAGGTGTGACCTAGTAGGTCTCAATGATTTTTAAGGGGCCATTTGGCTCTGAGGCTCTCTAAGCCTTTGGCTGTACAAAAATGGTTTTCAATCTGGATTCTCTGTTCTGTGTAAGTTCTTTGGGAAACTGGAGGCTGAGGTTCTGAGCAGTAGGGATCCAGGTCTGCTTCTTTTTTATTATAATTATTCAGAGGATTTCATTAAAGAGGGCAGAAAAGAATGAATCCTTTATAGGAGTGATCCTCAGCCTTTGGAGGTCGGAGGTATCTTTAAGAATGTGATAGTGATTTCTTGGAGCTTCTCAGAACAAGGTGACTCTCATAGCTATACAGATTTGTGGCTATTCCCAGGAAGTGTCAGAACCCTCAGAGGCCAATCCACAGATCCTCTCTACCTATAGCCCGGGGAACTTGTTATTCATAGGTGTGGCCACCAGGTGGTGATAGAGATTAGGGCCCGAATGGTTGGAAAGAGGAAAGGAGCCTAGGCTAGGCTTCCTTTGGCACTTCAAGGCTGGGAGTTGCATTTCACCTGCCCTCTCCCCTAGGCCTCTGTGTTCCTTCTCCCTTTCTAATCTGCTCCACACACAACTAAGCCAACAGCAATGGGCCTAGATAATCAAACATCTAGTCTTTACACAATGTAGTGCTTGGGCAAGAGGATGGGGGAGTTGTTTATGGTGTTCACATTTGTCTCTGGTGCTTTTTGTCTTTTGAGATTTGCAACTTTGCTGGATGTCCCCACTTAGATTTGTTCATTTAAGAAACATTTATTGATGTCCTACTTTATGTCTAGGCCAGGTACAATGAGTAAAGAGATGCCACTTGCCTTTGGGGTGTGGTGGGGTGTGTGTGTCATAGTTGGAGAGGAGACACACCTGAAAATCATTACGACTGCGAGAGGATGGGTATAGGTCTGTTGACAGATTTGTACTGGCCCTCCCTGGTGGTGGTGGTGGTAGAGAAGGTCAGGGAAGGCTGACATCTGAGGGAGTCTGGAATGAGGGACAGCAAGAAAAGGAAAAGGTGCTCCAGTTGGAGACACAAAGAAGCCTAACACAATCTGGCAAGGATCTGATCTGCACAGGCTGGAGGAAGCCTGTTAAAAGGTAAGAGACAAACAGCATGATCTCACTCATTTGGAATCTCAGAGTTGATCTCACAGAAAGTATGGTAGTTACCAGAGGCTGGGAAGGGGAGGGGAGATCTTGGTTAAAGGATATATAATCACATCATGACTGGAGTTAATGATGACATACTGTATTCCTGAAAAATAGCCTGGATGTTATGCAGCTGCAACACAAATGAGAGCTGAGGTAATGCACTTGCTAATTAGCTATATTTAACCATTCAACAATGTACACATCAAGACATCACTGTGCACAATAAAATCACAGTGGTATCTGTCAAGTTTTAAAAAAATTAAAAACTGGGGGTATAGCTCAGTGATAGAGCGCTTGCCTAACATGCATGAGTTCCTGGGTCCAATACCCAGCACAGTGCAAACTAAACAAAGCAAAACAAAAAACCCAACCATCCAAACATAAAACCCCAAACCAACCAACCAAACCAAACAATCAAAAAAGGTAAGGCTGAGAGGGACAGTGGAGGGACCTGGCCAGGGCTTTGGGAAACAGGAAGCATCTGAAGGATGTGAAGGTGGGAATGTGGGTGGGGTGGGGGGTGGGGAGAGCATCACAGGTGTCCTGAGTAACTTCGAACATACTCAAGAATGGACTCATCTTCATACTGAAATCTCCTGATTCCTCTCTTGGGAAGTCAGAAACCAGGGAGTTACTCACATTCAGACTTTTCACTGACCCAATGGGTCCTGAATCCACATTCAATTCTGATTTTTTTTTCTGGATTAATGAGAAGACCAGTAATTAGTCTCCTTCCCTCTTCCCAGGACCTCTGTGATCCTCTGTATCCTACTGATATTTACTTTCCCAACTTCCTCAAACATCTTCAGTACCATCTCAATGCCTTAGGACTAGTCTCAAATGCCTAGGTGTATTCTAACTCCTTTCTCCAATCTTTTCTCCCTAGTTCCCTTTCCTAATCTGGCATGTACTAAACTCAAACTCTGCAATGTTCCCAGCAGGCCCCGCTTTGTCCAGCATCTGGGCTTTGTTGTGTCATTTGCTAACTCTGGATGGCTCCTTACTTCAATCTGGCAAGTTTCAAATCCCTCAAATTCAGCTCAGGGGCACATCTCTCTCTCTCTCTCTCTTTTTTTTTAATAACTTTGTTTATTCTTTTTTTTTTTTTTAAATGTGGTGCTGAAGATCAAACCCAGGGCCTCATATGTGTGAGGCAAGCACTCTATCACTGAGCTATAATCCTAGCCTCGTCAGAGGCACATCTTTTAAAGTGTTTTCTTATATCCATCCTCTCCCTCTGAGCATAATCACTCACTAAAAGCTGTTCTGGGAGCTGGATGCAACTGTTATCTGTATTATGTACCATTGCTACTTGTCTCCTCCATTATACAAACATTCTTGAGGAAACAAACTGTCTTACAAATTTTTCTCTCCTTAGCATCCAGATTAGTGTTTTGTCACATAGTAAATACTGCTTATCAAACAAAGAAGCAAGTGAATGTATATGCAAACAAATGAATGCAAGAAGAGTGCTGCTACATTCCTTGCAATCCTTTTTCCTGAGCTTGACTAAATCCTTTGGACCAGAAGATTAATCTCTCCTCTTTTGAACAAACTTAGCTCTAGCTTCCTGGGTCCCAGCAGCCTCCTCTCTAGTTCACAGAACTACCCACGCACCCCCAAACACATCCCATGTAGTCCAACTTCCAGCCCTGGGCTGAATTACTCACCTCTCTCTGCAATGTTTCYTGATGGATCAAATCTTAGACAAAATCCAAAAGAAGCCTTTCATTTCACAAAGGCATGAGAGATTCCCCAGTTCTCCTTTTCACGTCAACCCCCTCTTTCTCTATGTGCCACCTTCCTATGCTTCTGTCCTAACACTCACCTTTCTCTGCCTTGTGTTCATTATTTTTGCCAGTGCCTTTCCACTTCTGCCAGACCATGTGTTCTAGATGGCAAAGGGTCACATCCTGAATCCTGGCACAGGGCCTTGCAGATGACAGACAATACTGATGCAGGTTGAGGGAACTGATGATTATTTCAATAGTCACGTAAGACAAATTGAATGAGGGAAACAAACCTGCCCCAAAGTTACATAATTAGATGGCAGGAGAACACATTCTAGCCCCAGGTCTTTGGACCTCCTATTCACACTTTGTTGCTTCACAAAGAGAAGCAACAAGGATAGCTGGGGATGTAGCTCAGTGCAGAGAACATGAGGCTCTGCTTGTTAGCGCTACCAAAAAAGAAAAAGAGAAAAAAGACAACCAGTACTTAGAAGCCCTACTTTCCTACTTTCACATAAACCTTAAATGATGTCTGTTTCCATGACCTCTGTGGGACTGATCCCTGGACAAGTGGGTCTGGAGAGAGGCTTTTCCTCAGGGCACCTGGCTGGCAGAAGTATCATAAAATAAACAAGATCTTGTACCAGGCACATCACTTGGGACATCATCCTAAATCCTCTAACAGTTCTGAGAAACGTGTGTTAATTACCCTTACAYTGTCAGATGAGGAAAACAGCAAATGACAGAGCTGGTGCTGGAAGATAACTCTGGTGTGGCAGGGAGCTCCCTGGAGGCAAAAAGAAGTTTGGGAGAAAATACTCTGTGCAGGCAGCAGCTCAACACATCTTTCCTGCCTGCTGCTGGCTGCTCCAGAGGCTTCTGGTGAGTGGGGGTGACTGCATCATCTCTTGCTTATGCTTTGGCTTTAATATCAACTCAAAACTCTTCCTTGGTTTTCAGAAATGGGTTCCTAGTTTTTCTAGCCACTTCATTTCACACTTGTTATTCARCACATTTTCAAATATTGTATGTCCCATACTACACCATGATTTTGCCCTTTTCTACCCACCTAGGTACCCTCTTTTTTTAATACTTATTT